GGTATATTAGTGAAACCCTTACTTTTATCAAGAATAAGAAAGCGTATATCTGGACATGAGCGTAGAATCGCACTAATTAATGCATCTGAGATTTTTAAACCTTCCAATCTGAGATATACCATCTTTGCGCAATAGGTTGGCTTTATTTTTCTACGCATAACTCTTTCAAAGTTTATCAATCGCCGAATAAGAACCCGAGACATGTTTAGGGCACGCCGGCTTTGCTGATAATCTTTGTTGAAAAACTCAATGCGTTGCCATAGAATAGAAGCACCGCAGTGATACCAAAGGTGGTTGACGAATAAAGCAGGATAGAGGGATCGATCGATTTCTAAAAAATATAAGATCTGTTCTAGTAATTCTGGTAAATCAAAAATATTTAGTTGCGCCATTCTTAAGTTGTATATTATATATCTTTAATCGAAAAAATAACTAATGTTCGAATAATTAGTTTAGGCGTATTTTTAAATTAGTATTAATAAATAATTTAACATTTACAATGACTGAAGCTGATAAAACCGTATCCCATATTACTAAACAGGTATCGGGTAAAAAAATCTGGATCTCTCTTCACCGATTACTGAAAATAGTGAAACCCGAAATTCAGCAGGATATTATAAACTTGATAGCAAACCCAGATATTCCTCGAAGAAATCATACACCATGCAAGGCTAAAAGAAAAAAGAGATTTTTAAATGATACCGCATCTGAGTCCTCATCCTCATCTTTATCTGAGTTTGGATCTTTATTTTCATCTGAGTCTGGGTCCAACTCTGAATCGTCTAGTGATGAAGTGTGTGTGATAGAAGTAAAGAAACACAATTAATTCTCATCATCATAGAGACAAAACGGTCTTGCTTGCTCTGAAGTCTGTCCTTTTTTCCGATAATTTACTACAACATAATTCTGTACCGGAGAAGTATGATTGTCAGATGCATGACATAAGGCTTCTCCTGCGATTGTCATAGCATGAGCTAAATTCTTTGCCCCATGTACCACCACAGCATATACAGCCCCTATTTTACGTAAATGGCAAGGAATTAAATCATAGTCTTTTAAGAATCTATTGAATCATTTAACCTCTGGCTTACCTGGATCATCTATTCGACCAGAAGATATAGCATTTTGTATCCAGGTTAGTAATTCTTTGGCTCGTTCTTGATTCTTCTTCATAGATCTTAATTTTCGAGGAGTATCCATCTGACTTCGGTTCTTTGCATAGCCTATCACTCCAGCATCTGTAATGC